ATTGGCGTAAGCTTTTATGATTCTCTTTATTTGATATCTTGAGATGAAAATTCATTCAATTCTAAACATTGAATGATTAATGTGATAGGAAGAGGATCCACCCATTATTAAAATATGGGACCTTGATAAGCAGGATAAATCCAAAGGAACTCCTACATGTCAGCGTACAATTAAAGTAAATCATGGTGGGAAACCGTTTCCTGTTTCGGCGCTAGCTGTTTTGGAAAACTTGGGCCAGATTGCAGTAGGATTAGCCAATGGCGTAGTCGTGTTGATCAAAGGTGATCTATATAGAGATAGATATACAAGACAAAAAATTATTCATGAAAGCGACGAACCAATTACAGGTAATTTTATCCAACATTCATTTTCAGTTGTCAACCAACAACTATAAAGATCAAACATATCAATTTACATTTAGGTCTCGGTTTCAAGGAACATAATAAAACCGTAATCTTGTTTATTGTCACTACTAGTAAAGTTTTGACTTACGTAACGACTAGCAGATCACCCACTGTAAGTTGAATATTGATCTGAAAATAATTCAAAAGTATTTAACATTATTTTAACCTACAATGGCAATATTTAGACAATCATCGATGAACAAGGTGCCGCTTTAGGATGCGCAGTAATGAGCGATACAACACATGAAATGGTTGTCGCTAAGGATGAGGTCGGATAAATTGGATTGAATATGCTTTGGATGATTCAATTCAGTCGTTAAATTACAAGTTGATTTTTGCCTGTAGGCGATTTATTTCTATGAACCTGATGGACGAGGACCTTGTTTTGCTTATGAAGGTATTGCATCAATAAAGGTGCCTTCTTATTTTACACGCATAAACATAACGTGATATGTTCTGTTAGGTACCAAGTCATCTGTGACCTGGTTCAAATCAAATCTCATTATCGTATCACCGCCAATCTCTCATCCAACAAGGCTTACAACAACAACGCGTTCAGCACTGTCAATTGGTTCCGGAAGTACACCGACGCAATCCGCTCCTTATGAGCTCACAAAAGTTACTATTTTTGACACTGCGAACAAATTTATTTCATATATTGGATCATTCTCTCATGGTGTACGGATGATTATTTGCGAGTGGGGTGGTATATACATTCTTGGAATGGAAGGAAAGGTTTGCTTATTAATTTATTTTATTGCAACTATACGTTATAATTAAATATGCGACATTTGAAATGTACGAAATACTTTATTTTTATGATTTATTTCAAAAGCTATATCGCCTTGAAGAAAAAGACACACCAACAAAACTCGAAATTTTGTTTAAAAAAAATTTATATTTGTTGGCAATTAATCTTGCGCATAGTCAAAAATATGATGATGCTGGTATATCTGACATCTTTAAGAGATACGGTGATCATTTATACAGGTAATCACAATAATTTATGCGACATTTACTATCTTTATACAATAGCATTAATAGATAATTTTCTGGATTCGACATAATTTTCAGTAAGGCAGATTATGATAATGCAATGGCACAATACATTCTAACCATTGGCCAGCTAGAACCATCGTATATTATTCGAAAAGTTTGTAATTATGAGTAAATTAGTGTAAAAGAATAAATATTGGATTCTCAACTAATGTACAACTTATAATAGTTTTTGGATGCCCAACGTATACATAACCTTGTCAATTATCTCCAAGAACTCCATAACCACGGTTTCGCTAATGCGGATCACACTACTCTACTGCTCAATTGCTATACCAAATTAAAAGACGTGGCACGACTGGATCAATTTATTAAGGTCATAAAACTAATTATAATAATATATACTTTTTTTTTTTTATATATTTCCAACATTCTATCTAACATTCTATCGACTGGATTTGTAGACTGATAATGATGAACTAAAGTTTGACGTAGAGACAGCTATTAAAGTGTGTCGGCAAGCCGGATACTATGAGCATGCCGTATATTTGGCAGAGAAATTCCATGAACATGATTCGTAAATATTTGTATTATGCTTATAGATAAAATGATAAATAAAAATTAATATTTATAATTATTTAACTGTTATAGATACTTAAAAATTCAGATTGAAGACGTTAAGGATTTTGAAAACGCTTTAGAATACATTCGTAAGTTGGGATCGAATGAGGTTAGTCATATTTTCATTATTTTTATACATTTTATTTTATTATTCTAAGAAATTATGATTTGTTAATTGCGATAATAGGCTAACCGTAATTTGCAAAAATATGGAAAAATTCTCCTTAATCACCTTCCACATCCTACAACTCAACTCCTTATCGATCTTTGCACTGGTGACTTATTTTTAACCGCTCAACGCTCTCGTACTCCACCGCCTGCTTCAGTTCCACCACCACCACCTCCACCACCACTTGTTTCGAATACTTCTTATGCTCCAACTCTTTCCTTCTTGCCATTCGGATCTGCAGCTCCCCCTCCTAAAACTCAAAATCATATTGAGGCGTCTAATGTTCAACAGACGCCTACTAACAGCATTAAATCTTCAAAAGAACGACCCATTTCTTCTTCTTCTTCTTCTTACAAGCCACCCCCCGTACGCATTTTCATGTCATTATTTGTTGATCAGCCAAATTATCTTATTCAATTCCTGGAGCAAGTTTCGCAAAAACGCTGGGGAGGTTTCAGTACTCCACGAAAACATGAAACACTTAATGTTCCAAGGACTGTATCAAACCGACCTGCTAGTGTGGGTAGTATTGATGTGGATGATGTGGTATCAAAGGATAGTATTGAAAATAATGATTATGAAGCAGAAGAAAAGAAAGCTGTTTGGAACACACTTTTAGAGCTTTATCTGTCAGAGGCCTATTTGCCACCAGTTGTATCCGGTAAAGATTCAAAAGGAAGAAAATATGGAGCCCCAGGAAATTTTGCGGTTTCTACCGAGACTGAACGTGTTAAAGAGAAATTGTTAAGGAAAGATAAAGCTTTACAATTATTGAAAAACCAAGATGTTAGTGAGCTTGAGTTATAAAAGGTTTCTTTATGCTATTATTTTAATTATTTACCCATACAATTTATTATTATGGCAGGTCTCTTATGATTCAAATCAAGCACTTGTCCTCTGTTATTTGGCTCAGTTTGACGAAGGAATTGTTTATCTTTATGAAAAAATGAAAATGTATGAGGAAATTTTAAGATTTTATATGGCCAAGGATGACACTGATAAAGTAATTCTGTCTCTAAAGACATATGGGTACGTTTATCAATTATTTTCATTCAGTTATTTTAGTTGAATAATTAAATGAATGAAAATTTTCTTATTATAGCCCACATGATCAATCACTTTATTTGTTGGCTCTGGCATATTTTTCCTCTTCTCCAACGACTTTGTCTACATCTACTTCCGAGCTTCTACAAATCCTAGACCACATTGATTCTCATAACTTACTGCCACCATTGCAAGTTATTCAAGCTCTTAGTAGAAATTCTATAGCTACCTTGGGAATGATTAAAGGATACATGGGGAAAAGAATTGAAAGTGAAAAAAAAGAAACACAAGTTAATAAGAAGAAAATACAAGACTATCGTGAAGAAACTGAAAAAAAGAAAAAGGAAATTGAAGAATTAAAAACTGTGTATGTATATTCTGCGTCAATATTAATCACTGCCACGAATTATACTGAAGTTAGACGTAATGGTGAACAGTGTTGGCATTTGGACTATGTCCAATAAAAATTTCGTTTGGACATGGACATATGGATATATAAAATTTTATATGTCCAAATTTATCCAAATAAGATTTTATATGTCCAAATTCGCCTAATTGCCAACACTGATGGTGAAGTCTGGGTTGATTTAAATACATAACCTTTTATTTGCGACTCTAACCCTAAATCCTTAAAAAAAACGCAAAAATACTATCGGTAGTACCGATCTTGATGGAGTAAAAAAAAAAAAAAAATTGAGTACTGTTCCTGATAGGGTTCTAAATCGAACCCTAATCCTAGTTTTTTTTTCATATGCTTCACTATAGTCGTATAGTAGTATAGAATTTTAGAGACCCTTTTTTAGAGCCGGTATGTAAATCGATTTTCTACCCTATCAGGAACAGTACCTACGATCCATCAAGAACGGTATTTTGCTGAAAAAACGCATCCAAAAAGAATATTAAAAATAAGCTAAATTTCGGCATAATCTACAACAATTGTTATCGTATTTTTGCGAAATCACCATGCGTTATTCGAACAATGGTCCGAATTAAGCTTAATTTAGGCCAAATTCAAAATTACATCCTTGCGCGTTATTTTCGAAAATACGGTATTATAAATTACGCATTTCAAAAATATCTTTAGTAATATAATTTGACTAATTTTTAGTGCCCGTATTTTCCAAGTTACGAAATGTTATAATTGCCGTGGGACACTTGATTTACCTGCTGTTCATTTCTTATGTCGACATTCTTATCACCAACGGTTTGTAACGTTGTTTGATTGTACCAATACAATAATAAAGGATACTATTAAGCATTTTTGTATTTAATAGATGTCTACCCGAGTCTGATCGTGAATGCCCCGAATGTGCTAATTCACATCGAATGATTTCTGATGAAAGAAGAAAACAAGAAGCTAATGCAGATAAGCATGACACATTTTTCGAACTGGTATTATTTCATGTTAGCTTCATTAAGCGTTCGGATAAATGTATTTGTTTTAAGTATTTCCTTTTTATTTTTACAATGTAGTTAAATGGAGCAGAAGACGGATTTAGCGTTGTGGCAGATTACTTCTCGAAGAATACAATGGCTTTTGCTAAATTGATTGATTAGAATTATGATACATTTTCTATCTTTTTTGTATTATTATTTTCTTTATTTACGTGTATATTATAGTAATTTGCAGATTTACAATTATGCGCATGGTGGCTTTATAATATTTATTACGGAAACCCTTGAATTTGCCTTTTTTTAGTATATACAGTCCCCTTAGGTGGGATTTGTTAAAACAAAAAAAAATGGAATAAAAATGTTTTTACGAACTATATGGGTTTTTTTTTTTATATAATATCGGTTTATTTTGTTAAAATATAGTCCATTAAAGGGTATAAATTTTTACTACAATGCCGAAAGTTTCTGATAAGTATAATACATTCTACGGCCAAATTTCAACTAGTACCCGGGTACTATGCTCGGGGGTACTTTGTATAAAGGGATATTATCCAATGCATTTATCCGGGTATTTTCATGGTATAATATCCGGGATACGTAATCTTACGTAGAATTTAATTCTGTAATTAAAGGGAAATATGCTTGCATACCATACACGTGACTTATCTCGGTTTTCAGGACCGGAAAGTCTACGGACTCATCTACGGACACGTACCGGACACGTGATATTTTCTTTCAGACATATAGGATAACTTTCTCGTGATTGGTCGTCACATGAAATTGAATAACACGTTATTATTGGCCAATTGTGAATCAACCAATTAAATTACATCATATTCGTAAACTTAATTATTCTCTATTGCTTCTCACTTTAACAAAAGAATAAAG